TTAAATCAATGACCCTAACCTCAAAAACCACTGCTTTCCTCTGTGCTCTGGTTCACATTCCAATCCATATCAGAAGACAAATCAATTAGCAAGAACTATGAACAGCTTAGTCAGTCAGGCCTGAGCTGCTAACTGGAAGATGGCTACATGTCTGAGCAAACCTATCCTACAGCATTCCAGAGCTGGGAAGGGAGGCGGGCCCATGGCAGGGGGTGGGGTTTCTCCTGCTCCGAGACCAGCACCATCCATTTCCCTTGTGAAAGAGCCGCAATCCTTCACCCTCCAGGCTGCCCTGATCTGAGCAGCCGGGGTCAGCTGGAGACACACCTAATAGCTTTGACAAACCACAAAATGAACACCAAGTACATCATTTCTCTCAAGAAGGGCGCCTGATCACCTTTAATGTGTTACCCTTTATCATGCCTAGGCTTCCTTGATCAGCAGTCTCAAGTTTCACTGGCAAATATAAATACAGAGCTCAGTAAATATCAGTAATATCCCAGAACTTTAAGGAACAGTATTATATTATTCTATATTCATTTGCTTCTTGTTTCATTCTTCTAGGCCTTTTTCCTCAATTATAATCTTATAGGGCAATTTTTTCAACTCTTTCACCGTATGCCCTAGTATGCTTTGGTCTGAAAAGCTTAAAAAAAACACACTTCAAACAGTTTTACAATTCTGCAATGTGATACATTCCAAACGCTGAAGCTGTGATACAAATTACTAAATTTTATGATAATTTATTCACAAATAATAATAGTTAGCATTTACTGAGCGCCTACTATGTGCCAAGCACACGTACATTATCTCATGTAGTCTTTACAACGATCCCATAAGGCAGATACCATTATCATCTCCATTTTACAGAGGGGGAACCTGTGGTACAGATATGTAGAGTATTTGGTACAAGGACACACAGCTAATAAATGGCAGAACCAGGATCTGAACTCAAGCAGAATGACAAAAGAATCTCTATTTTTAGCTACTACACTAACTATACTAGATGCTTCATTATGCAGAGAAGAAAAATGAGATTTAAAAACACATTACAAATAATGGAACAAGGAAAAAGCCTCTCAAGGAATATTGTTCTCATTACTTTAAATGAATGATGCCTTTTATTAGACTGACCCAAGTCCTGGAAGCACAGTCGCCAGTGGAAGCCTGTCCTGGCTGGTCCAGGCTCTTTATGAGGAAGGCAGAAAAACACTAATTTTCAAAGCTTTTTGCCATCTTTTACCAGCTTGAAAATGAATAAGAAGAAAAGACATGGTGATCTGTCAGTGTCACAGAAATGATTCTCTTACTGGCTACAGTATTTAGATTTGAGAAAGAGTTGGGAGAGATGGAGCTGTTAAGACTGGGTTGGTACCAAATCTTGCTCCACCCAAAGAGCCAAAGGGATTCCAGGCCAAGCTTCTGATTTAGTCTGAACCGAAAGAACCACACAGAGCAAGCAACCCATAGGGCAGCTGGAGGATGGATCCGCTTCCCCTGGCTGGAGCAGGTAGACCAGGGGTGCTGGACCAGAGCCCCCTGACTCTGATGCTCTCCCTCCCCAACTCTTTTCCCCTTTTGGTCACAAAGGAAGTTCTGGGCCCAAGCCAGAGCCTAACAAATCTGTCCAGAAGGAGGGCAGTGGTCTGCACCCTTTGATGTCAGGGCACCCACATGACCAAATGTTTTCCATCAGGCACCCAACCCAGGCAAGGCTGAGTCCTGTGCTTACTTCTATGGTGCTGAAGTGGATCCCGGAGCCAGACTCTCCAATTCTGACAACAGAGTAGCTCATCTAAAGGGATAGACCAAATCCCCAAAATCCAAATCTTCACCACTATCCAACTATTCATCACATTCTCTCTCTTCAGAAATCTGAAAAACATCTACCAACCTACTTATTAAAACAAGTCTAACTGCCTTAACTTCAGGATTATAGGTTTCCTGACAAAATTGCTCTTATAAATGCACTCAAAGTTCTATTATCATCTAATTACAATTTCTATACAGCTATATAGTAATGTGTGTGTTTTAGAAGCCAAAAAATGAAGTTTTAATTACTTCTGTACGTACCACTAAAACAAGCAGAAACAGCACAACCTTCTGTAAAGAATTTTTTTAAAAAAGATGCTGGAATCCTTTTATTTGGTGTTTTCTCAGAGCTCCAATCAAGGTGAAGGGAGCCAGCCAAAACACAAGCTTAACATATATGGTCATCTCCAGACTTTCTTACTATATAAAGGAGAAATTAATAAAAGAAGAAAAAGAGAAATACCACACAGCATTTTCTTTCCCCACCATAATTTTTCAATTTTCTTTAGAGAAATGCCAGCCAATAACTAATTAGAACCATACCCTTTGTTATCCCAGTGGGAAGAACTACAGGAACGGTTTTAAAGAACAAATGTTAATGAGAACTTAAAAAAAATAGTAATCTGGGACTTCAGTTTCCCTTCAGTGTAAAACAAAATTTCCTTCTTTAAAGCTATTTTTATAGTTGGTGAAACAACACGGGCAGAGTCCATCCACAAGAAGTTAAGTGCTTACCCATCCAGCACCCTGGACTGGAGGTGCCCTGGACCGTTCCCCGTTCTTATGGTAAAATTAGCATCACAAGCTCACAGACTTCTACACACCCCATTTCAAACAAGAGAGACAAAAACTCAAAGGTACAGAAAATGAATTTTTTTCTACATCTCTTTGGTTTCAAGGTGGGGGTGTGGTGGGGTAATAATTCCTTTCAAAGTGAGTACACAGCTTTCGTAATTTCCAAGAGTATGTTTTTTCCATAAGAAACACAGCTGGAGTCTTTTCACCTGGTATATATCACCACCAATAAGAATGTTTCTGGGATCAGATCTTGAGTTTCCTATTCCAGAGCATTGAGGGGCAGAAACGACCTCCTTGAAAACTGAACAGGTTTTAGAGAACAAAGTGAACTACGAGATGTGAGACAGAAAAAACTCTTAGCAAAAAATAAATCTTAAAAATGCTAACGTCACCATGGTTCAGGCATGTCCAGCTTTCTGAACTGTATTTTCAAGTGAGAATCTGCCCTGTGTCATCCAGACTCTCATCCTGGGGGAACTAGCAGGTCCAGGCTAGGGCCACAGGACACTTTTTTTCATGCAAAGAGATTGGCCAGGGTATACAGAACCAAGCACGGCCTATGTCATATCAAATACACTCCTTTTTCCGAAAAAGCTTTAAGCGTTTGCAAAACATATCCATTTGCTACATATTTTTACAACTCAGTAATTTTTTTTCCCCTTCTGTAAAAAAACCCCAAAACACAATAGGCCTTAGGTCTGTAACATTTTACCATCATTGTACATTTCCAAAAGCTAGAAATCATTTGTATTGCCCAATAAAGACATTATTTTAAACAGACTTTGGTCTATAACCAAAACTTGCCGTAAGAATGAAAATATTTTTTGGTAAATCACTTTCTGAACATTATTTCTCCCCAAAAGAATCATAAAAACAACCACCAAGGGAAACAAAGGATTCACACATTTTGAAGCAAAAAGTACTGGCCATGCATATTCATACCCCATCAAGCATATAAATCAAATATGGGGAGAAAAAAACTAAAAAGTGTTTAAAATGCCAAGTCTTGCCTCTGTGTGGTTAGTGAACCCATGTTTTTCCAATGTTAAATTTACAAACTGTATTTGTTAAGCTGTATTTCATACTTTAAATCTCACGTCTGTACCTTACACTGCTTTAGGATGGATGATTTCCTCAAGACATTTGGGGTCACAGTAATAAGCCTTTTGCTCTCACTAAATGTAAATCATCCTTCTCAACAAGGCTCTGCACACATAAAAGAAACACATGGCATGTGTTACCATCCTATCCTCCCTGGAGGAACCTAAACACCCAGAATAGCCCTTCCCCTGTCCACTCTACAAACTGAGATTCTCCTCCGAAAGAGAAGGGACTGGAGTCACGCGTTGCAACAGACACACGAATCAAGCAAGAGCACTCCAAAACTTTTGCTGCTTCCATTCATTATGAAATGTCCCCGATTTGTTTTATTGAAGCAGACATCTTCATCCAACAGGTACACTCAGAAACCCAAATTAATTTCAGCAACAAATTGGGAGGAAGGAGAAGTTGACAGCAAAGTACAAATTTCCCCAACTCCTCGTTCTTCCAGTCAATCCGCACCTATGGAATCCGTTCAGCATTTAATTCGAAGGACGCCAAAACAATAGGGACCCACCAAGAAACTGAGGGATCTGCAAGGACAGGCTATTCATGTGCCTGGGAGGCTTCTGGGGAGGAAAGCTGGACAGTCACACAATGAAAAGCTCCCCGGTGTCCACCAATTCAGCACGGGGACTAGAGGACAGAGAAGGAGAGAGGACTGAGCTCCCTTCTCGCCCAAAGCCACGGTCACCGGCCGCCTCCCCAGGACGGGGGACGGCCTGACCCCGGACTCGGCCCCCAGGTCCCTGGTCACAGGGGGAGGATGGCTTCGGGAAAGCAGATTCTCTCGGAAAGAAAGGAAACTTCCTGGTTTGGGCATTATGGGTAGGGGGCTGGCGCCCTCCCCCACCCGCTACAGGTATCCGCGGGGAACCGAGTGGCCGAGGGGAGAAGGAGGGGCCCCTCCCGGCACCGCTGGTGGGGGCGGAGGGGCTCACGGCGTCGAGACCCCCGAGCACAGCCTCCTCCTACGCGAGGCCCCCAGCACGTGGGGATGGAGGGCTCTCCACTCTTCAGGACACGAGCCGGAGTCCGGGGGGCCACGGGGTGTCAAACTTGCCAGCGCGGGCGCAGCCTGGCACCGGCTCGGAGTTGCGGCGGGAGCCCCAACCCGGCGGGGTCCTGGGATGGGAGTGCAGGCGCAGAGAGGGGCAGGAGGGAGGCGCGTGCAAAGACGGAGAAGGCGGGCAGGGGGACAGCGGGGTGGGCGCAGCGAGGACCGGGCTCCCGGGAGCGCGCGGGCTGCGCACCGAAGCCGGGGCGCCGACGAGGCCCGCGCGGCTCACCTTCCTGTGCTTGTCCTTGTAGGGCAGCGCCAGCCACGGCATGTCCCGCACGAAGTCC